AATCCTACTACTTTGCACTGTCTTGATATATTCCATCTTCAAACACCAACTAAAGAACAAAGTACTTGACTTTATTTTATGTGCTCCGTACTATTTGAACAAAGTCCTTATTTGTATAAGAAAACTAGTAAGGACTTTTTCTCATGTAGAAAGCACAAAATACAACTAAGTCGAAGAATGATATAACAACTAAACTAGAAAAACATGCAAAGAAACTTATTTTGTGCAATATGATCAGGCCTTCACAATAAATGAAAAATGAAAGAATTTTCCAATAGAATCATAGAGTATTATTGCAAAATAAAAGACATTTCATTTAAACTTAAAATGAAATAAATAGTTATTTTGTGATAGCTGTAAAAAAAATTGTATTTTGGTTGTAGTCGGTTTTAAATATGTAGTTAAAATTTAAAACGTGCAGGTTGCCAGATGAAGAGGCAGGCGAGATACCAGGGGCAAATGTGGTAATGAGCAAAGATGCAAAAGAGAGCGAAGAAGATATGATGAAGTATGTTGCGAACAATGTAGCACATTACAAGAAAGTGAGGGTGCTTCATTTTGTAGATACAATACCCAAATCACCCTCCGGCAAAATCATGAGGAGGCTCATTAAAGAGAAAATGTTGGAGAGTCTCGCCAAATCTGCTACAAATTAAACAAAGTCGGAAGTACAACCTCCAAATTGATGATTTTCTTTCATGTGTCACTAGTTAAATTTACCTTTTTACCCTTTCTATAACTAGCATAAAAAATGTATTAGGGTTCAATAAAATTTATGTACGTGCATCTTTTATTATAAAGTACGTGTTTCGTTTCATCCTAAATAGTTTCTTAATGATAAAGAATTAGAAAACTTGATGAAAATCTAATTCTTGTATCTCAATCTTACTAAAATGTTATATTGTATCAAAACGTTAATCACTTATAAAAGTAATGAACTTTATATCGTGTACACATTTACTACACATTTACTCATGTATATTGATTTTTGTACACATCACTATTAAACTTATTTATCTTGTTAAAAAAACATTACCATGACCTACTAGTGTAGATTAATTTAGGTTGTGTTTGGCCAAACTTGAGTTTTCGGCAAATTTAGGTTCAAAAAATCTGCAGAACAGAACACCATGAACTCAATAACACGATGAACTCAAGAACATCTCAGTAATAAACCCTACAAATAAAATGACATTTGGCTACATAGAAAAGTATCATTGAAAACGACAAAGTGTCACTAAAGATTGTTTCGTAATCATTGGCACAAAATAAATGTCACTAAAAGTTTTGACGCTAAAAGACTTTAGTTAAACGGTTGCATCCTTTTGGGGGTTTCAGTTGCACCTTTTTGTTGTCACTATATCATATTTGGGGTTTTAGTGGAGCTTTATTTAGGTCCTCATATGCTTCCTAAAATAAAACCATTTCTTTATTTTAATGACATTTTTTTTACCACAAAACTCTATTTTCATAAATTAGGTCAAGTCTTTTTTTATTTAAAAATAAAAAATAATGAAAAGATAATAAAGATAATAAATGAAAACACAATTCTATTGAAATAGAATTGAAGTTGTTTGTAAACAACATTCTTAATATTCACTACAAGAATCAGAAGCCATGGAGATGAAAAAGGTTGTCGCTAAGGTTTAAAAGTCGTTGCTCACTACTACAAAATGGTATATAGGACTCGCCAATTAGGACCTGGTTTTTGGAAAAACCGGGTTATATTATGGAAAAACCGGGATCTAAAACGGGACAAGCAATATGACCCGGTTCATTTTAAAAAACCGGGGTATATGTTACGCTTAAGAAACTCGGTCCCTAGTATAGCAACCGTGACTTTTTTTGTATGGGTATATGACCCGGCCTTGAAAAAACAACCGAGTTCTATTCGTGTTACTAAGAGGCATGCGTTTTAGAAAACTATATGACCCATTTTTTAAAAAGCAGGTTATTTGACTTTTTTTTGTATAAAAACTCCATACCCTTACAGTAAACAGTGGTCAAATCACCACCTATCTTCCAATTAGTCAAGTTAATGCTCATATCTTGTTTCTTTTTTATATCAGTTTTTTTCATCTAGAACGTAAGTAATCACTCATGTGATGATTATATTGCATATTGTATTATTATTTGCATAGGAATTAGGTTTTTTTTTGAACAATTGATGTATAGACATCAGTTTACTTTCATGTATATATTACTTTTGCCCAATGGTGTAGAATTACATGAAAAAATAGTCAGGTTCAATAAATTACATCGAATTAAGACTATATATTAAAAAGAATTGAACTTAGTTCACAAAAGATGTCCTCCGATGCACTTTGATGGTTATAAATACAACAACAATACTGCATCAGTTACCATCAATCCCTCCATTGATATTGTTGTAGCTGAAACACCAAAACCATAAACAAACATCATAATCCCCACCTGTCAACAAGTAGATATATACATTTCCAACATGTTACATAATCTTGAGTTAAGTGAACAAGGTTTGGTTACACATCAAGAACAGTCGGAGACATAATGTTGGGGAAAGGGTAAAGGCTATCTAAAATTGGAATATCTAACTTATTATCATTTACATAAGACAATAACAGAGAAGATCAACTTCACAACCATGGGAACATATGGAATCATCTATAATCCAAAAACCAAACAATAACCAAGATTGATCTAACACAACTTTACAAGGTACCACTTTCTGCACTGAGTATTTTAGTGCTAAATTCATGCCCCACCTGAATGGCTAAATGAAAGCAGGGACAAAATCATCCATAATTCCCCACCACAATATATTAGAAATAAAAAAACAGGAGCAGCAGGAAGTTGGAACAATAAAAAAAAGAATGTAGAAACAAACAGAATAGAGACAAACTACTTTGCTCCTAAATCGGCAACCAGAGGAAAAGGAGTTTATGAAATCTTTAATTCAATCAACACTATGAAAACTATAAGCACATGCTCACGTGATGTATGTATTGTGCATATGGAACCTTGAGCTAATAACAGGGCAGCGCCAAAAAAACAGTTGAATTTCACCAAAATAACACTAGGGGCAAAATGGTCAAGTTGGATCTGAAGGGAGGAAGTTATCTCTCAGCCACCCAATTAGTAGCACCAGAATAGCAACTAACTATCATGAAAAAGCAACCAACTCTCATGAACGGGCGTCCATCTAAAGGAAAATCAGCAAACTCAATAACTGTTTCGTAAACATTCACCAATTTTACTTGAAAAGTCAGCCATCAAAAACTTTAAGCAGCAACAACATAGTAATAATCAACATCTTTATGAGCTTTTCTATGTCGGTTACTAAACAAAAAAAAATGGGTTTTTTGACAGATGAGACCTATGTTTGCTCTCTATTTAATCATATCCTTATCTCGTTTGAAATTTATGCACTCTACGAAAAAATAGATAAGATACACTCAAAATATTAACCAATCATGAATAAACTTTAAATTTTAAAGTTACAGTTATTGATAAAAAAAACAAATTTGAAGGATAACTATTGTTGATTCATATGATTATCTAATTAGTTGCTATTTATTCTTCCATTTACACATACGCAAAAAGAAGAGACGACACATGAACAGACTTGTATTTGTTAATCAATTAGCATACGCAAAAAATCAAGTGAAAAAAAAGATAGAAGTTGATTTGTAAGTATCTCTAATCCTAGTTAGGTGCATACTACTAATTGATTCCATTTCTTTGCAACTACATTCGATTATATGATAACATAAGTTTACTGTTTAGTTACATATGCAGAAAATAGATAAATCTTGTATGAAGGAGAAGAAAACCGTAGGCTACAACACACATACTCTTCTTCATTAAGACTTAAGTATGTATTTTTAACCCTATTCTACTCAAATATTCACATTTGAGTCAGTTAATGTTTTAAATTTGAAAACTTACAGATAAAGTTTAACAGATTCTGAAGCTGTTAAGGGCATAGAAGATTGCAAAGATTCGGTTTCCTCAACAATCAAAGTTATCTCTAGTCTCTTTGTAGCCTTCGCAATATCCCTTGGAATTAAAGATATCATCGACACAATCCCTTTCATCTCTAGCACCAACAATCAACAACACATTCAAAGGCAACTCTCAAATTAGAAAATAAAATTTCTTTACATGTAAGTAGAATTGAAAATCCAAAACAGTGTTAAGACTGAAAATCTCAAATTGTGTTGACTAAATACCATAAAACCTAAATTTGGTTTCAATAAACATGATTTTAGTTGAATACGACATACACTGAAGAATTATTACCTCAAATCAATGTAAGATTCAAGATCCTTCTGCATTCCTTATATTTACACTTAGGACAGAGTTTATAACACAAGACTCTACTAGGAGAGTAGATTAACAGAGACGATGAATCTTTCTTCTGCTATCAGTCTTTCGTCTCGGTCTCTCCATTTTTTCATTATCATGTATAGCATGGGTCTTTATAAAGGATTAAAGATGATGAAATATTTGGCGGAAAAAGTCCCGCCTTCATGTGTCGAATGGGTTTTTATGAGATTTGTGATATCTATAAAAGTCTGTTAGTCCACCCTTATGAAACCCTAACATTTTGACACATTACGTATCATTCATTTGTAACTTGTCATATTTTTTTCTTTTTTTTATTAAATATTAATTAATTGTTTAGAATTTCATAACATCTATTAGGCTTAGATAATCCCATATATCCCTTAATATATATAATAAACAACGATAAAGTTAATATTTATATTGACTTATATAATGTTTTACCACTTCTTTCTTAATTAACGTCTTAATTTTAATTGTTATTTAATATATCACAACTATAATGATAATACGAATTATGTTAAAATATTATATAATTTTATCAAGTTGTTTTAAAATATTTAAATTTTTTTATTTGTATGATTAACTTTGTATTATGTACATTACATATGCCTTTAAATGCATATGTTATCCTACATGCATGTTATTCAGATATATCTTTTATGTAATAACAGATGGATCGTAGTTACTGGATGTATAGAATTAAACGTTCATGCGATGAATATTTGGCATGTTTGGATGGGTTTCTTAAAGTCGCAGAGGAAAATCGGGTGAATAAAGGAGAAAGCTACATATGGTGTCCTTGTGTAGATTGTCAGAACTGTCGTATATACACTGATTCTGCCAAAGTACAAGAACATTTAATAATTCATGGGTTTATGAGAAATTATATATGTTGGTCACGACATGGGGAGACATTGGTTAATCGTAATGAGGTTGTTTCAGAGTTTAATGATGATAACAATGATTCAAACAATGACAAGTACGATGACTTATCTAGAATGTTACATGATTGGGAGGACAATGTCGCTGAAAAGGATTATGAAAATTTTCAACAATTATTTGACGACTCGGAAAAACCGTTGTATACCGGGTGTATGAAGTATACAAAACTATCTGTTGTTTTGAAACTATTTAACCTAAAAGCAAACAATGGTTGGAGTGATACAAGTTTCACAAATCTTCTAAAGCTTCTGAATGATATGCTTCCTAAAGATAACGAGTTACCTATTTCAACATATCAAGCGAAAAAACTAATGTGTCCAATGGGAATGGAAATCGAAAGAATACATGCATGTCCAAAAGACTGTATGCTATATAGAAACCAGTATGTAGATCTAGATAAGTGTACCACATGCGGTTCATCACGGTATAAGAAGAATAATCATACAGAAGAAACCAATGATGTGAAAAAGAAAGGTCCACCTGCTAAAGTATTGTGGTATTTGCCTATTGTGCCTAGATTAAAGCGGTTATTTGCAAACGCCAAAGATGCAAAATTAATACGATGGCATGCCGATCGTAAAATAGACGAAAAAATAAGACATGTGGCTGATTCCCCTCAATGGAGAAATATTAATTCCAGTTTTAAAGAATTTGGTCGAGAGATTAGAAATATTCGGTTCAGACTTAGTTCTGATGGAATTAATCCATTTGGAAGCTTAAGCAGTCGTCATAGTACATGGCCAGTTCTTCTTTGTATCTACAATCTCCCACCTTGGTTATGCATGAAAAGAAGATACATCATGATGTCATTACTAATTCAAGGTCCAAAACAGTCGGGAAATGATATCGATGTTTATTTAGCTCCATTAATTGAGGACATGAAAAAATTGTGGTGTCCGGGTGTCGAAGTGTATGATGCATATAGTTCGAGACATGATTTATTGCACCATAAATGATTTCCAGCATATGGGAATTTGTCTGGATACAGCACAAAAGGAGCAAATGCATGTCCAATTTGTGAAGATGGCACACAATCGTTATGGTTGACAAATTGCAAGAAAAATGTATATATGGATCATCGAAGATATCTTCCAAAAAATCACCCATATCGCAAGAAAAAAAGGTGTTGAATGGTAAAACTGAGGAGAGGAAAGCAAGGAAACCATTATGAGGAGAAACTGTATTTTCTCGTGTTGAAAATCTAAACGTGACATTCGGAAAATTCAAAGGTAATGGTAAAGGAAAACGTAAACGTAAACGTATAGGTACAACTCCTCCCAAAATTATTTGGAAGAAAAGATCTATATTTTGGGAGTTACCATACTGGAAGCACTTGCAGGTTCGCCATTGTCTTGACTTTATGCATATTGAAAAAAATGTTTGTGAAAGCTTGATAGCCTTATTGTTAAACATCAAGGGAAAGTCAAAAGACGGGATTAATGTTAGGGAAGACATGGTTGAAATGGGAATTCGTCCCGAGCTTGCTCCTATTAGGAATCCTGGAAAGTGTATGTATCTGCTAGTAGCTTGTTATACCATGTCAAAGGATGAGAAAACAAAATTTTGTAAGTGCTTACATGGTGTAAAGGTTCCATCAGGCTATTCTGCTAACATTAAGAAGTTAGTGTCAATGAAAGAACTAAAACTATTTGGTATGAAGTCCCATGATTGTCATGTTTTAATGGCACATATGATTCCCAATGCAATTCGTGGAATGCTACCAGGCCGCATTCGACACACAATCACAAAGCTATGCTTGTTTTTCAACATGATTCATTCTAAAGTTATTGATCTCGAGGTATTAGATTCATGGGAAAGTGATATTATCTTGACATTATGCCAACTCGAGATGTATTTCTGTAACACCCCGTTTATTTAATAAATAAATAAACAAATTAATGAATGAATAGTAGCCCTATAATTTATAATTATATAGCAAGGTGTGGGTCTCGAGGAGTTAACTGTCACAATCTTAGAATTCGGGGGTTAAAAGTGTAAGTTCCGGATTGGTTTCATAAATATTATTGGAGGCAGGGACTAAATGGTAATTTCTGGGACTTCATTTGAAGGGATTTTGGAGGCTTAGGGGCTGTATGGTAAATTAGGGATCGAATTTGAAATGAATTTATGGAAGCAAGGGCCAAAGGGTAAAATTCAGACTTAAATTGAAAAGGTTTTGGATTGCTGGGGGCTAAATGGTAATTTATAGAGTGGGTGTGAAAAGAATTTGTGGGGCAGGGACTGATTTTGTACAAAATTGAATAGAGTTTGTATGGGATACGGGTATTTAACCCGTCACCATGCATCAGCCTCCTAAAACCCTAAACCTAATATCATATGCAGCCGCCACTCTCACCTCACCCATCTCCGGCACCGCTGCTACCTCTGACCACCTAGCACCGTCAAATGGCCCCTGTCACCGGCAATAGCGGAGACCGATGGGAACCAGGATCGGGCGCTGCATCAGTCGGAGATTGGAGAAGGATATGACGTCGTGGGTGTCGCCGACTCGTGACCTCCTGTCCCCAATGACGTTTGTGCAACCGGAGGTGCCACTGAAGACCGGAGATCGGAGCTAGGGACGTCGTCGCGCGGGCTATGATCGACCAGAAGACTCTCAGAATGTCAACAACGCATCTTTCTTGTTCCTTCTTATGGGTTTGACGTCTTATACCACCTCATGCCGCCATTTCTTTCTACTTCCTATCATCGCCGCCACCATTGACCACCATGGGAGGTGACCGTGAGTTTGTATGGGTGTGATTATGTTTCAAGACTCGTGTGTGTGTGGCTGTATGACTAGGGACTAACAAAAACCATCGCCACCACCGTGAGGTGGTGGCTGTCATTGTAAAATCACCACTGCCGCCGCCATACGCCGTCAATGGGTGGTTGGCTCCCCTTCCCGAGTAAAGAAGTGAAGATGTGCGTGTTTCAGTTGGTGAGTGTGTGTGTGTATAGCTGAAGTTCTCGGAAATGGCATCACCGCCACCATAGGATGGTGGCTGCTGCCACTTACCACCACCGACCACCACAAGGGTGGTTGTGTGTGTGCGTATGTGTTATTATTAGTGTGTGTGTGTGTATTATCGAGTTGTATATTGTAATGGTGCCAAAATAATAATAGAAATCTCAAACCACCACCGTAGGGTGGTGGCTGCCGCCACCGGCCGCCGTGTCGGGTGGCGGTGTGCTTAGTTGTGTTAGGATTGCTTGTTGGATGTTTGGACAAAGGACTAAAACCCTAATAGGCCAATTAAACCCTACTAAGCCCTAATGGACCCAAAATCCCTAACATGTGACTCCTAGTTGACCTAAGGAAAACCCTAATGGGCTTAAGGACTTGGTTTTGGGCCTATTGGGCTAAGATGGGATTGGAAACCCTAATTAGGGTTTAGAAAACCCTAATATTGGATTTATGGGCTTGGACTTATCTGGACCCACATTTGGGCCATTAGAATGGAATTGTGTATTAAGCCCAATCACATCATATGACTTATCTAGTAGAGTGATGGACTTAATGGATTAAGTCCTTAATGGGTTAAGTGAGAAACACTTAACCTTAATCGTCATTTTATGTGAAACCCTAATTTCGCTTGGGTTTATTGTTGGGCCTTTCTAATGGGCTTTGGTAATTGGGTTATTAATGGGCCATCCAAGAACAAGCAAATGAACTAGAATAATTTAATGGGCTTTAGGGTAAGGCCCATATGAGGGTGTGGGCCCAATTTGGAAAATTGGGTCATAGATGGGCCATAGTTTGGGCCTTAATAATTATATGATATTGGGCCATTAGAATGTCAAATGTTGGACTGGAATAAATGGTTGGGCCTTAGAGTGAGACCATGTAGAGGTTTGGGCCCAATTTGGAAAATTGGGCCATATGTTGGGCTTTGACTCATAGTTGGACTTTTGGGCCTTTGGATTGGGCCTCGGGCTTGAATCAAGCCAAGTTAGGGGTAGAGTAGTCTTTTACCCCCCCAAGCATGGACTTATGGTTATGTATTGGAACCCAATTATTAATTGGGTGTTATTTTGGTGTTGACAGTTCGGGAATCTGTCATCCAGCAGCTGGGGTTGAGTATGCGGGACTTCAGCAGTGTGGGATTGTGTCTATGAGACTTCAACAATGTGAGGTGAGTTACCTTCCAGTAGGAGTGGGTCTACGGCCAGAATGCTGGCCCACTAATAGGAGTTATTTGTTAGATGATTGTCTTTGTGATAATTATCTGGTGTGTCGTTATCTGATATGCTTTATGTGCTAGGATGCTATGACATATGTGTTAGTAGTGGTAGGGGTGATATAGCGCCTAGTTACCGGTTGAAAGATACCGAAGGGGTAGATAGTACCCATGCATGCCTAGCAGTATGATCATGATATGTTATTATGTGATAGTGGTATGGGGCGAAATAGCCCTCGGTTACCGGTTGAAAGATACCGAATGGGAGGTTAGCTCCCGGTTACCGGTTGAAAGATACCGAAAGGGAGGTTAGCTCCCGGTTACCGGTTGAAAGATACCGAAGGGGAGGTTAGCTCCTGGTTACCGGTTGAAAGATACCGAAGGGGAGGTTAGCTCCTGGTTACCGGTTGAAAGATACCGAAGGGAGGTTAGCTCCCGGATACCGGTTGAAAGATACCGAATGGGTAGGTTGAGCAGCCAAATATTCCTGAAAATATATTTATGTATGTTATGCTATGTTATTACGTGCTAGTGATAGGGGGAATAGTCCCCGGATACCGGTTGAAAGATACCGAAGGGGTAGGCCAGCACCCGGATATGCTTGACAATATATGTATTGTATGGTATGTGGTATAATGGGGGAACTCACTAAGCTTCGTGCTTACGGTTTTCAGTTTTGGTTTCAGGTACTTCGTTTTCAAAGGAAAGGAGTCGGCTTGATCGCAGCGCATCACACTATGGTTTTCCGCACATGAGATCTTTGGGATTACACTCTGATATTGTTTATGATAACATGTTTTGATTATTTCTACTTTGGTTTTGTCATGACATGATATTATGGATGTTTTATTATACTGTTGGCTTTATTATAACGTATTTAAAACAAAATTTTTGGCCTCGAATTTTGGGATGTTCCAATTTCCCACCTTCATTTTTTGATGTCATGGCTCATCTAACATCTCATATTGTTAGAGATATAAATTATTGTGGGCCAGTATTCTTACGATACATGTATCCATTTGAGAGATATATGGGCGTCTTAAAAGGGTATGTAAGGAATAGACATCGACCAGAGGGTAGTATTGTTGAAGGATACGCAACAGAGGAGGTAATTGAATATTGTATTGACTATCTACAAGGTGTTGATAGTATTGGCATTCAAAAATCTCGACACGAGGGTAGACTTGTAGGGAGTGGGACAATTGGATTGAAAAAGATCATTCCAAATCGAGAAGACTTACAACTTGCACATTTTACAGTCCTACAACATATGACAATCATTGCTCCATATATATAAATGAGCACAAAAGAACACTGGAATTGTCAAATCGTGGTAGGAGCAATAGATGGTTGGTTAAGGAACATAACAAAACGTTCTCACAATTGTTAAAAGACAAAGTGAGAGCAAGTTATGACATCGATAGTGTGGATCAAGTTGTAGTACATCTAGGGAATGGTCCTGATGATCTTGTGGCAACGTACCAAGGATACGACATTAATGGTTATACATTTTACACTAATCAACAAGATGGAAAAAGTACACTTCATAATAGTGGTGTAACAGTAATAGCCTCAACTGAAGTATATGGAGATAGTCATGATACAAGGGTGTGGATCGCCAAAGAATCATACTATGACATCATTCAGAAAATATGGGAATTGAAATATGATTCCATCATTATACCTATGTTAAAATGCAAATGGGTTGACAACCAACGAGGTGTTAAATTTTACAATGATGGTTTTACAGTTGTTGACCTTTCCACAAACGGATATGTATCAGAACCATTCATCCTAGCTAAACAAGCTACCCAGGTATTCTATGTTGAGGACCCAAAGGAATCGGGAAAGCACATCGTTATGCATAACAAACGACATATACTTGGTGTTGATGATGTTGTGGACGAGGAAGAGTACGATCAGTTTGATGAACTACCCCCATTTTCTATCGGCATTGCATCTTCAAATGATGATGTCGATGACACCACTTACTTACGGTCAGATCACAATGAAGGAATATGGATATCATAACCCACATCTTGGGCAAAATGAAGAGGATTTGGGTAAGGTCTCAGACAAAGATAAGACAAATATATGATTGATGATGAGACGTGTCATTATTTAATATGTTTTAGTGTCGTTTGAATTTTAATTATTTATGTTTGTATTAATGTTTTAGTTTGAACATGTTTCCATGAATGTTTTTAATTTTAATTTGGATGTTTAAGACTTAAGTTTCTAAAATTCGAATATGTTTGCATCAAAAATTTATTCATGTTTAATTGTCAATTTTATTTATGGAATCTGACCCACGAACCCAAATCTAGCCCACGAACCTATGAACCCAAATCTGACCCACGAACCTATGAACCCAAATCTCACCCACAAACTTGCCAACCTGTGAACTTATATAAATACGTGGGTTGGCGGGTCATATATGGGTTTATATTCTAAACCCGCCAACCCATGACCTTTATAGTTAAATGGGTCGTGTTCGGGTTGGTATATTCTGACTCGCCAACCCGCAACCCACCAACTCGATCACGACACGATTGTCAAGTCTACTTTTAATCATATGGTGTTGTTTCGGAAAAGATATCTTAGGCGCTGTTTGGTTCGTAAAATGTTGCTAAAGGAATTTGAACTGGAATTGGAAAAGGAATCTGTTAGGAATTTGAATCCAATTCCATATGTTGTTTGGTTGGCAAGAAATGGAATTTGACTTAATTCCAGATTCTGTTTGGTTCGTAGGAAATAGAATTGGAATTCATGTAAAATGACAGAATTACCCTTTTGTCTATTTTGCTAAAATCTACCTTGTTTTATAACTTATATGTAAAGATACACTATATAAATTATAAAAACAATAAAACTTCGACGGTCGTGGCAGTGGTGGTGGGGGACGGTGGCGGTGGTAGCGGTGATAGTGGTGGGTAGCGGTGATGTTGATAGTGACGTTGGTGGTGGTAGTGATGGTGGCGGTGGAGTTGATTGTGGTGGTTGTCGCGTTGTGGTGATGGTAGCAGTGGAGGTTGGTGGCGGTGATGCCAATGGTGATGGTGTTGGTGGTGGTAGTGGCGGCTGGTGGTAGTGGTGGCAGCGTTGGTGGTGGTCGTAAGTGATGGTAGTCACGATGTTGGTGGTGGCTGTGGCAGTTGTGGTAATGGTGGTGGTGGTGGTGGTAGTGTTGTTTAGCAGGTCACTATAAAATATGGTTCACCATTGTTTCTTATTTTTATACAATTAATAAAGCTAGTGAAAGACTATTTTGGAGATTACTTGTTCTCGAATTAAGTTCTATCGGTTCTAACCCTAGGGACTGAATCTCGTACCTATCACCCACATACTTTGGAAAATAAAACAAGTTATTCGATAAGAAACATGAATATGATTGTAAAATTGCACTAATCTAGTATAACCTAATTATATTTTGAAAACTCACTACATTATCCGGCCCGATTTTTTTTCAGTTAAAAAACTCATCCTTAATCTGAATTATATTATTACACTAATCATCAAAGTGAAATTCGTTAACCTTTTGGGTATCCTAAGTTTTGCAGGATTCGTTAATTAACTTCAACATGTCGTAAGTTATAAAATTATAGTATAGTTAAAAGTTCTTATTAATAATCAATCTTTGAGAAAATATTTATAAGATTGAAATTAAATATGTTGTCAATATATTTTTCTTCTTGTATCGTAATAAATAAATATTATATCTTTACGTTAGAGTTTCCTTTTAAATTCATATTATACTAATAATTAGAGTTAGAAACAAAATAATACACAATAATTAGAAAAAAAATGCATGGGCTCTAAATTGGTAAGGTACCATTTGCCCCTTAAACAAAAACATAATTTTATGCCAAAAATATATAAAAATTAAAGTGGTTTTGGCTGAAACTTTTTGAGTTAACCCGCATGAAAATTCAATATACCACCACAAATTTTGAGGTAGAATCAGACCCCATACCACTTTCTCACTCCTTACCCTCCTCTTATTCTCCGCTGCAACCACCAACGACTGTTACCACCTCACCGTCATCTCAAACCTTTATTCCAAACCCGTCAACCCGTGACCTATGTATAGTTAACTGGGTCTGATCGGGTTGGTATATTTTGACCTGTCAACCCGAACACGACACGATTGCCAGACATACTTTTAATGATGTTTCAAAAAAGAAATTTTAATATTTTCAACGTCCATTTTATAAGAAAAACGTCCTAAATTGAAATTTGACTCGTTTACGGCTAATCGAGCTGAATTTCATATTTATTTTATATTAGGAATGAAGATTTGGATCCATCGAACCGACCCTATACCGTACCGACGTCAGAGCAAACCAAATTTTTTACTCAATGGACCGGTTTCCAGTTCTTCGTTCTCATTCGACCGGTTCCCAATCTGGTTCGAGACATGTACGTATAAAAGAAGGGTTTTCAAAAAAAAAATTTACATGTTTTTTTGTCAAATCAATACATTAGTTTTATAAGGATATATATTAGAAGTTCAATAAGCAAAAGGTATCAATTGAAACTTATATACAAATATAAAGGACTAAGGTTGAAAATGTAATTAAACGAAATGTATACTGTAGGAAAAAAGAATCAGCCATTTACTTTTTACATTTAGTCTGACATAAGTTTTGGTAAAGTTTTTGGATATCCCGCCATGGTAATTGTATAACCCGCCACAAATTTTGATAAAATCAAAACCCCAAACACGTTGTCACTCCTTACACCTCTCGTTCTTCTTCACTGCATCAAGCAACCGGCAATTTGACTATCTACCACACCATCAGGCTGTGCCTTAACAGACGATTCCTCCTCATCGTCCTGACTATAATCTGGTGCCTAAAACCCTTATCTTTTCCTCGCTTTTCCCTATCCCCTGCCTCATATAGGAGGTCGCCAAGTCATTGCTAGGGCAACATTACTCGTATACACGACTCTACATCTCAATTGGTCCTCTTCCCCAAAACAACAAGACAAAATTCTTCGCAGCATCTCTCCTCTCGTAAGTACACTTCCCGATCGTTTAATGTTTCCCACCATCTCCTAGAGTATCGTTAATTCTTGTCACGTAAGCTGTATGCTATTTGAATCACTTTTTGTTGATGAACAATTATAGATATCAGTTGTATCATCTTCCTCATTGGTTATGTTTACTTTTTATTGGTAATTTATCATTTTTTGCTTTAGATTAAACTGATTTGAATGGTAATTTGTTGATTAATCACACGCTTCCTTTTGAATTCGGTAATCTGTTTTGCTTAAAGGATGTTATATGTACCTGCTACAATGATTATAATAATTAAGTTAATTATCGTTAACATAATATTTCATTCACCTGAAACAAAATTAGCTCTAAGGAATTTGATTGTTTTGGCCCTAGAAATTCAGAATTAAAATCCGATTCATCTAGCACTTAGCAGCATATCCAAACTCCCCCTTAGTCTCATGGTTTATTGGGTAGTACCTGTTATCAGTGTGGTCAGAGGGTTAGGTTTCTTTTTCTCTTTTTGGTTTTGCTTTACTTTATTAAGTACATAGATTCTTCCAAGTGGGGTTAAACTTTTATTTTATGAGATTACTGCATAGGCAAGGCATCATAGGGTTACTATGTTTCACTGTTTGGCCCCTGTAGTTCTAATGCTCATGTCTCATGTTTTGCCCCTGCAATGATGGGATAAGATATTTCATTTTTAAACTCAAAACCTGATGGGTTTCGAGCAATACATCATTCCTATGGTGAATATGCAAACCCTAATAGCTTTTGGATCTAGTTTGTCTAATGAACATGCAATTGAATATCCAATTCTATAAACCCTAGATCTAATAAACAATAACTGAAGTTAGGGTTTAGATCTTACCTTTGATTGTTATATAGCAATAACAATCAATCCTTGGCTTCAGAAAGCTTAGTGCCTCAAGTGTTGCACCTCTAATGGAGTCACAAACACCACTAAGCAACTTGCATGAAGAGGGAGGAGAGATGAGGCACCAAAAACGGCTGGAAACCCTAAAGGATTAGTTCACCACGTTTTTGGGGCATAGGGGTCCTATATATACATGTAGGCTATTAGGGTTTGCAACTAGGAAACCCTAATCTGACTGCTTAAGCCCTTCGCAGCCCATGGACTCCTTTAACATATCCCTTGGACGAATTCCTTATGGGCTTCCCATAGAATTCGTCCAACCTATATATTATTAGGTGATCCATAGCCCAATTGTAATTATCTTATAATTACAACTCCAGTCCCCTTAGTTTAATTAATCTCTTTTAGTCACAAAATTAATTCTTAATTAATTCTTGACTAATATTAATTAAACAATATGGTTTCTCCTTTAATATATTATTCTTATAATATATTAATAAATCATAATTAAACCTTTCTCTCCTTAATAAATCCTACATATTGCTATGGTGAAGGCAACCCAAAAGGACCATGCTCATAATCGGGTCAAGTACATACCAAAATAGTTATGGACTTAGACACTAATCCAACAGTCTCCCACTTGGATAAGTCTAATAACTATTTTGCATAACTTCAGAACCTGATCATCAATCGTAGCTTTCAAAAGTCGCTGTCAACTCTGATCTTATCAGATACGCGTGTCCTTTAGATAAGGGATCATATATTGCTCCATTCTCAAGATATCGTATAGACACGAGACATGAATTTTAATCATTCTCTCTATACTGTTTCCCGACTTCCGATTTATGACGACTGACAACAGACTACAATTGAACACATCAACTCAGTCCCGACTTGGCCAAGCGCTTAGGGTCATCACTAAATCATCGAGAGGCCCACAGATATCACTTTTATCCCACTTTGGGTAAAAAGAATGGATAAACTTCGACTCAAATGCTCGCTTGCATTTACTGATCGAATCACACACAACAATAAGTTTTATAACACCAAGTTACTGGTGCGTTTTCTTATTATCAATATGCAACCGACCAACAAATAACAACTCACACGTCTCGGTTTCAAGAATATACAATGTTATCGTCTCACTAATCA